CGTTGACAGTGAATTGCTCACTGTGGGCTCAATAATTGCAGCTGTGATCAGCCTGTCTGATGGGATGCAGTCCGAGGGTGTGGAAGAAGAATGTGGAAGTGAACAGTTAGGCCCAGCCAGTAAGTTGAAAGCAGGTGCCCATTTTTGGACGTCAGTGGAAGACTCCACCTTGTGAAGCCTATTCATGGGGAATTTTACATCTGAGGATGGGTGGCACGAATGCCAAACCTCGGCTCTCCTTGTCCAATTGCCATTGGTCAAAACACACAGATGGCTTTGACCTTTGGCAAATCACCTCGATTTGAAATTCTGCAAGAATGGCAACTACAGATGAAACGACACCAGACTTGTATTTTTTAAATAAGGAACTTTTTCTGTTTAAATCCTGGTTTGAGCACGATCATTTGAATCACTTTTACCACATATGATGGCCATTTTTAGTTGATTCTCTGAAGAACAGAATTTTTGGACTCACCCTAATAATTTTGGCTTGCCTTTTACAAAAACAACAGTCAGACCAGAAAGCGTAGGTATTATCAGTAGTACAGGCGTGTGGAAAACTGTCTACTTGTGTAAATTCAGTGCTAACTACTTTACTCGAAGTTCAGTGGCATTGCAGTCCTGATTTCCAACTCATTTAAATAGTAGGTTTTCAAGCAACTTTGTTAAATGGATTTGCTCTTATATTCCGTGATTTGAGTCATATGGAAATGTGTGTGCGTATGAAGCGCTGAAGTTCACGAGTCCCTAAGCCCGTGGCTTTTGCCGTGGCACCACTTTTATCACACAAGATGCTATAGAACATATTCCCAAATGTTGATTTGGATGAAACTGTTCTCAATTCGGTTACTACTTAATTATAAGAAAAGAAAACGTTGAGAGGCCTCGGTGTTAAGGGATGAGTGTGAAAAAACTAGTTTGTAACTCTGGAAGCCAAGGAGAATCCTATACCAGCTACCTCTCTTTCCACTTCCCCTTTACGCTTCAAATTTCATAATCGTTGATGTTTGCCAATTGCTAGGAAGAAGCAAAGAATGTGGAGGGTAGGAAGGAGACCACATCTTTGTACCATCCCAAAGGTACCTCATATGATCGCAAATGTAAGTGCTGCGGCACTATGATCCCTTATGTTGTCTAGTTATTTCAATATAGTTTTTTTATCTAGCGGGGATATCTTGGTCTTAATTATTTGGTCATTGTAACAAAGACTTGTTGTAAACAACTCCGTGCACACGTCATCACGGACGAAACTTGGATTGCCTTTAGGTGGTAAATCAGGGGCTGAATGGGAAGTGGGCTGTTTGAGTAAACCACCAACGGGCTGTATTCTTCTCATTTTCACTACTAGCCAACCAACAAAATAGCTACAAACAACATATATTCATCAGGTAAGTAAAGCAGGAAACAAATTGGTAGAATTTAAAGCCCACTGTCGTACGCTAAATTGAGCAGAGGCCCCAATTTTCCATCGGATCAAGTTGAAAAAGGTTGATTCCACTGAAAGGTCTCCTCACCACAAGATAATAAACTCCTTCATTATGAACAGTGAACCATATTTCCGAGCGCCTTCGTTTTATCAGTAAAAGTGAGGGTGTTTAAAAACCACCAAATTTTAAAAGACCTTTTTAGCGACTAACAACCTTATTAACTTCCATCCTTATATCCAGGTAACTGATCTTTAGTCTACTTATGCAGTAATTCTAAAATTGTCTGTCAAACAACGTCTTCGAAGTCAGTTCAGTTACTAGAATCAGAGTTAAGTATCCTCTGACATAAGCTAATCAAATGATGAAGAATAAAGAGAAACTTTTTTCGGCTAGAGGACATGCAAATGGAAGCACAAACCCATTTCCTGCATAGAAGATAACAACTTGGAACAAAATTTGCATATGGATCTTTACCCTTTCGTGGAGAGTCTTAAATCCGTAAAGGTGCATTTTTTAAAACTTATCTGCAGAATTTTAGAAAATTTCCATACAAGTAATTCCTCAGAATTTCGAATATTTTCCTACCTTGCATGCTATTTAAAATGCGGAAAAAATAATTTTTAGGACTTTACTTAATATAAACCAAAAAGTCTGACAACTTTACAGGCTTTAGTTCTGGAAAAATATCTATTACTTCCCACTTAAAATTCATTCAAAAAGCATTTATTAATCGCGTCTAAGTTTAAGTAGCTGTCAGGAGTCGGCGCCCTTTTTGTCACCTTTTACTGGTCTCCGCTTTTATAGGATGTTTCGACACCAGATATGTCAAGAAAAACCCACCTCTATCCATCGGTCTATTCCATCTTTTATACGATTGCTTAATTGGTATGTCAAAATAACTGAAGTTACTTGGAGGAATCAGGGGAAAAAGGGTTGAAGAGAGTAATCTTCTCCCCTTCTTAAGGTCTATTATCCGCAGATGTAGGCCTTGTCAGTGCAAGCAGTCGTATTATGTTGCAGGACCAGGCGGTGGATCCTTTTCACACGAATTTAAAAGAAAGGATTTCTCTCTTTTATACCTTTTTGCTTGTTTCAGAAGTGGTTGGTAGATCACACTCGTAACTGTCGGGTCTTCAGCGAGCCATTTGTAGCGAACGATTTCGTCTTCGACCCACCAAATACGCACCCACAGACAGCGTGGAAGAAATTAAAAAGACAAGGTGGGGAGCCTCCTAGGGGGATGCAGTACGTATCCTTCTGCCCGTTTGTTCAATAAATGGTTATTTCTCAATATAAGTTAATCAGTCACTTAGTCGGTTTGCATGGAATCCCCTCCCAACGGACCTATTTTACAACATGCTCGAGGGAAGCAAAGAAAAGATGGCAGTCTTCATAGATTGGGGCACACACTTAGTAGTTTCCACCACTTTCAGCTAATTCTGTTGCCTAGCTTTCTGTAACCAATGAGTAGATTCCCTGCATAATTCCCACAGCTTTTAACATAAAAAGCTCCCGTAGACATTTCTGAGGTTCGTCCGACACCAATTATCTGATATTTGGGTTCAAAATACCGAAAAGGCAAAAACAAAGCTTGAAATCGTAGCACAGGTAGTCTACTTTCCTATAAAGCTTTATAATGCATACAAACATGAGCTTGAATTTTATAACTTCCTGCACATTATAAAGAAAATTTTATAATGCTATATAAATAAACTTCCCTCGATATTACCTGCTATTTTCCCAAATTTGTGTAAGAAATAAATGATTTAGTTTTAATCCTGATTTTAATTGCAGAAAATCGGATTGCCTATGTTAAATTTTACCCTTTGGGGAGGTAAATTACTAAGTTTCAAGATGAGGTAGGTGGTATAAGGCAGAAAATCCATTTTAAGGCGAAAGTTGGGAGGTGTGTTTATGCCTTACGAAAGTACAATAGACACCTACAACTGAATGCTTAAGTACTTCGCGAAACGACGGTACAAGCGATGCTCTCTCATCAATGCGGTGAAATGCCCTCCTACGCTGACAGTGCTCCTTCTTCAGCGCAATTTCATTGAGGGACACGAAACCATTTATCCTTTTGACCTCAGGCACATAATGCGGGTTACCTTATGCATACCTTAAGGTAGGTGACTTCGGGTAGTCATTTAACAACTCATCCGAAGAATATGTCAGTCAAATATAGGGTGCAGCTAATCATGAAGACCACCTAACTCTACCTACCCTTTCGTTCCCACCTTGCGTCCATTTCTCAACGGAAATACTTAAAAACAAGGACCTTGGTAATTTAATTGACAAAAAATGTCCACTTACTTCTCTTTTATTGCTTTAAGCAGCACAAATATAAGTAAGCCACAAAATGCGTCATTTTTGGCCAACAAAATTGCAAATTGAAGACATGCATATTGATTTTCAAGGGCATCAGAGGAAACGTAAATAAAAAACTTACAAGACACCACTTTTAATTGAAGATCTTAGCAAAAAGTTCGCTATAAAGAAGTAAAAATGTCCAAAAATTCATAGGAACCAAGTCGATCCTAGGAATAATATACACAATAATTCAGTAGTATCTCCAGGAACTGCAGACTCAATAGGTCTCAGTTGTCATGGAAAGGCTAGAAGATAACCTATCAAGGTTATCCTGTCAGCACATCGTCCTGGAACCCTTCATTTGCAGCGAATTCGTTTTGCATTCTCATTAACTCCTCGAAATCTCTCTTCTCCCTTCTCCTTTGACGAACCTTCTTGTAGATAAAGAGGATAAAGAAGATGATGCAGCAGGTAACTCCAAAGAAAAAAATAACAATCCCCATAGTGAGCTTTGCTTGATCATTTTCGTCCTCCCCTGAACCCCACATGCAACCTCCAATGAGGAAGGAGAGTATAAAGAGAGCAAAGAGGATGAAAAGGGCCGGTTCACCTTCAAATAGCAGCATTCCCCAAATGACCTTCTGCCAAGAAATTAAATATAAAATGCTTTTCTTTGCAAGCGTGTGAGCAGGCCTTAAGGCTCCTATTGATTTATATGTGTGCGTCTATGAGATGGTAGCTGCTCTTTTACTGTCCTCTGATTGGCCAGCAAGGGGGGTGACACGTGAGCACTGCAGTGAAGAGAGCCATTGTGTATGAGGTATTACACTTAGAGAGGGGCGTAAACCCATCTCCATTAAAAAGACATACAATGAATGGGGAGAGATTTAAGAATGTATCCATGTTTAAAAATCAAGCTTTCCTACCGCTTCTTTAAATCATTTCCAGCCTATTTCAAAGTGTTTGATACGAAGAGAGGCACAATTTTTTTCAAGTAATGAAATATAAAATAAACAGGTGCATGGAAACTATAGTTTGCAATGATATTCAGTAATGGTAGTTATGTTACATTTACTGTACTTATATTATTACTTTTTTGTCCACTAAAGTAGCAAAATATTTTAGAAATATATGCCTCATGAGATCCCTGGATATTCATAAGTTGAATTTGTGTGAAAAAACCATATTAGGAGTGGATTCATTCATAAACTGTGCGTTTCTTCCCGTCTGCCTACAAAGACATTACAACATAAAATGCAATAAAGAACACATTCAAAGCAATAAAGTATTATTTCAGCCTAACTTTATCCCTTAATCTCAAATTATTTTTCAAAGTTAAGCTTTTTAATCGATTCTCAAATTTAAGTAAAAAATATCCCTCTAGGGTATAACAGAAATTAATAAATGTCCATTATAAAGGGCACATGAACTGCTGGGTTAAATAATATTAAATGAAAACCGCTTTATTAGAACGTCTATCCTCCTCAATAGGAACTGGGATCTTTGGCGTTGTTGGGTTTCTGCTCTGTCACTTATCTACCATAAAGGTAATGCATACAAGCCTGGACCTTGTAGAGTCTGCAGCGAATTTAGCCAGAGAAAAACAATAAGTGAAGAGATTTATATGACAACGATCTGAGCATCCCCGCCAGTTGGAAGCCATGACTGCACACTGGAGCATGCGGGCAGTTATCGCTCTCACCTGCATTATTTGAATGACCGTAATCATGCGGTGATTAACAATAAATTGGTCTAAACTTGTATTAGTGAATCAGGAGGATTTGGAAGAAAGCCAATTTCTTGAACCGTTTTAGAACATCCAAAACTGGGTAAGGTGACTTGGGTTTTATAAAAAGTCTGGGGTTATAGACGCTCCCAGTAATCTACACATCGGTGGCTTTGTACCGCTAACATCTGGTCGATGACCCACCAATGGCCCATCTCACGTTATTCATTTTTTCATGAGAAGACTCACTTAGCTCAGTTACACTGGTTTGATTCTTATCATCAATTTCGTCTTATCACCATGTTCCTAATTCTTTACTGAGTAACTGTCTGCATGAAGTCACCTATAGCTCACTCGTCACAGTTCACACCTTGCTTTGAATATGCTCTAGACTTCTCATTAATAATCTCCATTTGCGTATGAGCTTGCCCAAGAATGCGAGCTGTTTAGCAGAATGCATGAAACAACTTCAGAGAGCCAATATTTCAAATCAACTCCGAACGGTCTCTGTAAATTAAATCCAAATATATGGACTTGCAGAAGGCAGACTGCCTTACAATTCGGTTATCTTTGCATAAATATCTAAGGCAGATCCGTAATGAGCATTTGTAACTTGTAAAAATCTGGCTATATTTGCGGGGATCAAATACAGTGGCAGCCGATTTGATAGGCACCCCTTTTCAATTCAGCCTTCCACGATTAGTTCTGAGACTTGATTCCTCATTGGTGTCACCAATGTGCTATGAAAAGAGCAAGACTTTGCATACCTGACATGGACACCAGAAAGACGGTCAAATGCCAAAGCTCTAATGTGGACTCTCCTGCTATTATCGCTACACACACACATATGTATTCGTGTGTACTTCACTTAGTGGTTGTTGTGCAGTTTAAGGTATAGTTCGCAGAAATCCCTTGAAAAATACCCGTGGCAGTATCTCGATGCGGCACTATTTGTAACACCTTATGCTCTCTTCTTATACTGAATTTGCTTTTATCATGTACCTTTGAATTCTAAAGGTGTTATTCAAGCCTTTCAGATGTGCAAACCGTGTTAGTGTTGAAACATTATTAGCACTTGTAGAAGGCGTGACAGCAAAACACACCAATGCCAGTGAGTCAATCGAAGGCAGATCTTGTTCAGAAAGATCCCACCATAATGGCAGGGAAGAGTTATTTAAGGTTATTTATTCAGACGGATTAAAAGCAATGTGTCTGGAACTTAAGTAGGGTTTTAGGTGAATGATGAAAAAGTCTCTGCACACATTCATCATCTGGGAAGGAAAAGTCGGGATGTGTGAAGGCACTCCTTCGTACATATCAATATGCTCTTCCCTTCCTGCCACCAAACACCTGTCGTTTGATTGTTGATTAAGTGACGGACTGACAGACAAATTGACCAATTGCCTGACTTTAAAACAAGAAACGGCTTTTGTGTCCTTTTAGTAGTTGCATTGTGATGTTCCACAAGCTTCTCGGAATGAATATTCTGTTCCCAATCCATACCTTTTATGAAGGAACCACTTTACCCTTAGAAGGTTTTATTTGCTCTCTCTTTGTGCAGTGGAAAGTAGCAACATTAATAACCATGAATTGTTCACTTGATTAAGGCCAAGCAGACTTCAAGAAATACAACCACCTAAGGAGCAAGCACGACTTGTTAATCCGTCGGAAGAATGATTAACCCTTATTTTAACAAAATGCTTCAGTACCATGTACCAGATAATGCAAAGATTACTCGTGAGGGCGCTTATTTATACCCATGAGTGAAGAAAGGGGAGAATCCTCCCCTTTATCCCCATCGCCATCTCCATTACTCGCCTAATGACGTTTCTTTAAAAGCTTTTTTCTCTCATTATTTTAAATACTAAATAGTCGAAAACATGCATTTTAATGTTATGTATGAAGAGTGGACCGAACCACTAGACTTGAAAGCCTTTTGTCATGTGTGGCAGCATGGTAGATGGCTCTCATATGTTCTCCACGCGACACATTCTTTCTCAACTTGATCTACATGTAAGGGAATCACCCACTCACTCTTATTCAATACTTCTAAAATCGCTTTTTTACACACTGGTACAAAAACAGGGAAATCTTCGTAGAAGAGAGTTATTAACAAAATCAGTCAGCAACATGAACGCTGATTCTGCCATTGCGTCTCCTAATGCTCAGCGAATTTGTTGGAACAGTTCTACAGCTCTGCACCTAAAGTAAACCCACTCCACGACTATGACAAGCTCGAGTTTAGCTGATAGTCTGTAATCGGCAGGTGCGAAAGTGGTGCAGGGCACAACAAGGGTGCCTTAATTGTTGACTGATGCGTATCCATACACTTTTAAAGTGCAAATCCAATAAACTGCACAAAATTATCAGATAATTTTGTGATGGAAGTAGAAGCTAATGTGAGGCGATCAGGGGGTTCGAAAGGCTTACGCAAACTACTATACAAAGGAAAAATATGGATCTTTTGTCGGTCTGGATCAGTTCGATGAGATAGACTTCCATGTTAATAAAGAAAACGGATAAATGGATTTTAACACTGTACGAGAATGTGGAGATTGGAGAAGGGATGTAATCGTAAATAGGAAGTTGCCAATATCCAAAAACTAAAAATGACCATATATGGTTATCCAACTTGGCTCATAAATATATGAATTCATGAGCCTAGTTCGGCCAGTAAGTAGGGTAACTTTTTAGCCCTTTGACATTCATCCAAATGGGGCCTTTTCCCGGACTCCATCACGGATGACACCAAGCCTCAAAGACCTCATTTCACTTTTAATTTATTTTGCTGCGGAAATATACAGTTCGTCGTCTGGAGGCTGGCTTTTGAGGCACAAAAGGC